GAGCAGTTTTCTCTGTTGGTCCCTACCCGGTCCATGTATGTTAAAGTCTCTGTGGCTGCAGTGGGAGCTTGGACATCCCTGTGGCAGATCATCGGTGCATGCAAGGTCCTTTTTGTTATTACTGCCATGGGGTAAAGTGCCTAGCACCTGATGGGGCCCCCTAGATGCCACCACAATACAAATAAGCAAAAACCACATTTAAGGAAGTATGCAAATTTTATCACAATGTTATTCAATGTTAGAAAAATGACTGAAACACAGGCCTTGATTAGCATCCATCCCCATTTCCCTGGTAGTTAAACTCCTGAGCCCTGGCACCCATTGTGGGGCTGAAACTGAGACAGGAGCCAGTTTCTTGCTGAGACTGAGCAAGGCTAAAGCTCCCAGCCCAAGTGAACCCTCCCGGTCTGAAGTCCTGAGCTGCGGTGCTCCTCTATCCTGGCTGACGCTCCAAGCTCTGGTATTAAAGACCCAAGGCAGCAAAGTATTTATCTCCCCTTTTCCTCCCTCCCCCCCCTCTTATTTTTTTGCGTCTCTACTGCGGTTGGATTACTTCTGGTTCCAGATGGTGTTTGGTTGACCAGTAAGTCTGGAACTCTGGTATTTGTATCTTTGAGGTTCTACTGTAGTAGCAATTATTCATCGGGGAGTCTGTGTGGTACGTGTAAACTTAAGATTTGAGGTACAAAAATTCATTTAAACTCAATTGCTCAAAGCCTACTTACTTGACATGCATAGAAATGGCCAGTTATTTTCACAACAACCTGATCATTTTCATCAGGCGTCTGGTCACGAGGGACAACAACTTCTGCACTTGTCAAATTCTGAAGCTCATTTACCTATACATGAATAATAAATAAAAGTAAGCCACCTTTAATTCACTGCAAATTTTAAAAAGAATGCTTTGGTCATCTGAAAGATAAAAACAGGACCAATACAACTAGAAATCAACCTTACTGAATATTTGTCTATAAAAAAGCATTTTTCTCCACCCCAAAAAAGCAAGGCCAATGTAAAGAGAGATTTGGAGTAACTCAGTAAATTAGGAACCTAAATAAGCAGCAAAGAATGAAGAATCTTAAATTACATATCACAAATTTTACCCTTTTTTTGAGCAGGAAGAGAGGATAGTTACAAATATAGCCTAAGCTGACACATCAAAGACAGTACAATATACACACACAATGTTTTTTTGCCCTGGAGATTATAGTTCCACCTTTCACATGGTCTGATTTAGCTTTTTTAATTTACTGGATTGGTGTTCAAATAATGACAAGTAGCAGGTAAACACCTCCAAATGCTTTATGAGCATCTAAGTGATTTGCTCTAACCATTCGCTATATTAAAGATGACACAAGGGTTCTCAATCCATGGACCATACAGACCTGTGCACATTACAATAGGGCAAAATGCACATATTAAACGACAGCTGCAGACTCATCATCCTAGAAAGTTTCTACAGCATACACATAAGCAGACCTGTTGATTGGGGGAGGGGGAGGCTGTTAGACAAGGGGGCAGTTGCCCTGGCGCCTGGCAATCCAAAGGGGCCCAGAACTACTGCAGCAGTGGTGGCAGCCAGAGCCCCAGTCCTCCTGAAATTGCTGCTGGAGCACTGTGCTCCATGGTCTGTGTAGCTCTGAGGGATGGGAGAGTTTCCAGTGCCATGGAGGGCTGACTGCCCTTCCCTTTGAGGCCCTGTCTCTTCCAGGGCAGGTTCACACACTTCTTTGCCCAGCCTGCGGAAGCTGTTGGCCCCTCTGAACCCATGTCTTTAAAGACAGCTCTCTTCCATGTTTATTCCTGTTGGAATCGCTAAAGGCGGCCTGACGATGTTAACTCCCATTGGGTCTGATGGGATAGCAGCAGTGAAGGTACTCGTCAGCTGCGTTTACTAGGTGGAGTGTAAATTTCAAGGCCTTTCTGAGCTACAAAGTGGATCTGTGCCAATGAAAATTGTGTAATTTCTTTCCAGGTGGTCAGATTAGGTCAAAGTGGTCCCTACTGGATTAAAAATCTATGAAAGAGTCAATGATATTCAGCACCTCACAAAATTAATTTTATGCAGTGGCAGCAGGTCAATGTAAAGCATCATTCCTAGGACAGGATGAAATTCCACACGGTCAAGGAGTGTCTCAACAGCCAAAGCATAATTTTCCTCTTTGTTTCACACAAGAAAACTTTCCTCAGTAGTGTTTCATTTTCCATCTGCATGATACATACTGGGTCTAAGGCCTTTGTGAACCCTTACTCAAGTGATACTATTGAAATCAATAGGGCTACTGGAATGAGAAAAACTACAGTGTCAGCCCTAGAATTAGTAGAGATGTTAAAATGCATTTATTTGTGTAATCGCTGAATTTTTGGGCCGTTACAGGTTTACCGGGGAAGGGAAGGCAGGAGCAGGCATGCGTGGGAAGCCAGCTTCCACCCATCCCCTCTCTCCCGGGCCGCTACCTCTGTGGGTGGAGGTGGGAGAAGAACAGCTCCACAGGAGCCAATGCTCATGCCTTTCCCCTCCCCTGGCTTCTCTATGTGTCCGGGAAGGGTGGGGGAGAGAGAACTGGCTTGTAACCGAGAGGGTAAACTGTTGAGTCCAGGTTCATCAGTTAACCATGTACAGTACTCTAGATACCCATTCACATCCCT